AACCATCCTGTCCACTTCCATGATTGTTGGAAAGATGGTATTGTCGAAACCTCCTCATCTTCTTCCCCCTTTTAAGTTGGCCAGGTCTGCTTTCAAGGACTTTGGCTTGACTGGACACTGGCCTCGAAAATGCTATCATATATTCATGAGTGAGTCCCTAGGGCGTCTGCCCCAACAAATGGAGGGGGCTGTTGGTCTATTGGTGGTTTCCAAAAAATGGCATCCCCAAAAAACCATCACAAAGCGGTCCTTAACTGGAATTTCTGCTAGAGACAGGGTACCCAAGCTTCAGTGGGGTCTTTTCGACTTGGCGGCTACACCGTCATGCCCTGGCTTGGCCTGACAAACGGTCATTCAAGCCGATGGCACAAAAGCAATGAAGAGAGCCTCATTGTTGCTGCAGGATCTTCGTAGGGTGCGATACTAGCAAAATAGAGATAGTCGCTCCTTTGCACAAAAAAGCAATGAAGATATACCATATGGACTCTTAGACACGTAGACCTCCGACAAATGTATCATGTTGAATATCTAAAAAGCAAGTGGTATGCTGCTTGTTTCGCAGGCAGTACATATAGCTGTCCACGTTGTGATCGCGCTACACCGCGCCTTCTTTGAATTGACTCAGCGCCTTGTTCTCAAAAAGAGCTTTCAATGGCTTTGGTCAACATGTGGGGCACTATCGTCATTCTTTCAGGTTAGCGCGCCCACCTGAGAGAACGCTACGTGGACTTCCCGCCAACTCCTGTCTGTCAGGTCTCTAATCGCTTCCGCCCATACATGCATATTATGTTCAGGCCAAAATCCCAAAAAGGTTTCCACTTCGGTCGCGTCCAAATGGGGTCCCCACTTTGCCAGGCGCAAAAGCCGTCAAACTCATAATCTGCCGAGTAATAAAAACATGTGGAATTGTAAACACTTGGCTGATTTGTCAAAACACAATTAATTGAAAGAGAAATTAAAATTACAATGGCTGACAGAAGTTTAGTATTGGTCTAGTATTGGGTCAATTGAAAGTACAAGCCCCTATACCCCCCTGAAACATAAACAAAATACATAGATATATTATATCAACAGGGGAGGGTGGGGGAGGGGTCCATTTGGCCATGGGTCAAAACCCCGTACCCCCAGTGAAGATCCCAATCCCCACTAAAATAGACTAGAATGGGTGGTGCAGGCAGTGCACCTACCCCAAAATCTTACCATTGGTGCTGACCCACAGCCATTTAATAATACGGGAAGGTGATTGTCTTGCAGAAACTAAGCGCTTCAGCATGCTTCACACCTCAGTCGGGCTGTCAGAAAAAGAACTTCCTTTCCATTGGCCACGCCTTCTTGCTCCTCAAGGTGTCTGTCTTGCCCACATGGCTTGCCCCCTGGCCCTGCCCCAGCCTTTCGCGCCAGGTGAGCTGACAGCCAAAGGTCGTCATGCAACTGCGGCGCAGCCGGGACAATGTCATGCGCTTTCATTATTTCACTTGCCCAAAGGACCCGGAAAATGGGCATAAAGGGTAAACCTCTTGAAAGCTTGACAATCTGGGAAACTCGTTCCGTCAATTTCTGGTATGGTGAAGGAGGCAGAACAACACCCGTCGTGCCAGAACTTCTCAGTTCTCGATCAATGCCTTGAAGTGACTGAAGACTGAAGCCTGTGTCTCCCACACACACACACACAAACACAAACACAAACACACACACACACATGACATGTCAGCATGTTCCATTCAAACACGCGAATGAAATGCTTTGCTTCTCTGTCTTGCCAATTCAGAGTCCGACACCTGACACAAGCTGACCGGGGAATTCAGTGCGCAGCCTCCCCTGAAGAGCCGACAATTTCAGAAGCCGCGGGGCCTGGCAGTGCGGAGCAAAGCCGGTGAAGTCGAAGACGCTGTCATCGAAGAACTTCCGGCGGAAAAGCGCCCCATGGACACCTTCCAAGGTCAGAATGAGACAGGTTGTCTTTCCAAACGCTCGTCCACGCTCGTCCACAGCCGGTGTTCTGGCCCGTATTTAGTAAAGCTGAAGCATATCACAGGAGATCACAAAACAGGCGGAGAATGAGACACCTGGAATGTCATAGTGCTGGGCATTCTGTAGATTCGGCCGTTCCACCCAAAGGGAAGGGGGTGCAGGGGGTCTGCAACTCCAAATTTGCAGTCTTTCCCACAAATGTATGGAACTTGAAGTGGCGGCTGTCTGGAAAAGCAAATGCCTTGTTCCTTGTTCCCGGAAACGCCATCTTTGCAAAAAAAAACCTTGACTTTTGCGACCTCCATCGAGCAGCTTTCGCGAAGCGATTTTCACAACATTCAATCCACAAGTAGAACGCGAAGGGTACGCTTCCACAGTCCCGGCTCGAAAGTCGCAGCTTTGAATGCACCAAGTACACGTCTGCAGCCCGCTCGAAAGTCGCAAGTTCAGCCTGAAAGCCGACCTTTCAGTACCAAAGTAGCACTCGAAGTACACTTCCGCAGTCCTGCCTCGCAACCTTTCAGCAGCGAATAACCTCTGCAGCCGCCAGCTCGAAAGTAGAAGGCCGTGCTGCAGCACAGGAGGGGCGGGAAGGTTCATGGACTTTCGCATAAATTTCGCGGATCTTGCCGGAAACATGAATGAACATCCGGCTGGGGAGTTGAGCGCAACTGGACACGAAAGCTCCCGTCTCCAACAAGCTGCGTTCTGCTGGGGAGTGCTTTTGCAATGACGTATTCTTGCGGCAATCCTCAGACAGTGCTTTCGTCTCAACCTTAGTCTGTGCAAATCAGTCCATCTTCCTTATAGCAAAACATCCTTACAAAAAACTTCCGCGAGAAAGTAAGCGACCCGCGTCGCGGAGCTTTCGTGGACACCAGCACTACGACCAAAAGGTCTTCCCCTTCATATCTCAATTACCCCTTCGGCGACTCCCAAGTAAGTAGCAAAGATGGAACTTCAAACAACATTCCAGGCGTTCGGAATCTAACCGGTGGGGGATTTGTCCAAAATCAGGCCTTCCAGCACCACACCACCCAGGCCCAGGTGGGTGGGGGCATGCCTCGGAACAACGGAAGTTGCAGGGTTCGGAAATTCAGCTTCCTGAAGGGGACCCTGTTTTCCCAACCCTCCTGGTTTTACCTTCATCATGTTGCATGTGTCGAAAAGGGCCCGGCGGTTTAAACCATAGTTGAAACACCCAGCGTTATAAGAACCTCCTTTTGGATCCCATTTCAAAGGGACCAAGGTCTGGTTCTTGAAGCAGAAATAGCACAACCCTGCTATTCTCCCACGCAAATGGCCATGGAACCTGACTGGGTGGTCCTGGAAGACCCTCGAAACGGGGGCCAGCCCTCTGGTGCATTCTGTGGGTAAAATGAGGCCTCCCCAAAACAAAACAATCATGGGTAGGTTGGTGTTGTCCGACAATGGGAAGACCCGCCATCCACACACCAGTTCCCTTGTACCCAACAGGGGAACATGCATGGGGGCATGGACCCCCCTTGAGTACGTTTCAAGAGGGTGGAGATGTTGGTTGCATCCGTGATGTTTTTGTGCTGACATGCCAATTCAAAAGGGAGTCCCCCATTCTTGAGACATCCTCCCCGTGAGAAGCAAATGCCAGCAAAGACCAGAAAACGCTGGGCGATCAACGTGAGCCAAAATCAAACTCCTTTTCCCACCTGCAGATTTGATGACCGTCCCTTTCAGCCTTCAAAAGCTATGAGCCGAAAGCACTAAAAATAATTCTGACATGCACAACTTGCTGAGCATGAGGCCCCATTTGTTGCCAACGCCCCTTACTGTTTTGAGCCTGTTGAACACATTCTGCAGCAGAACAAAGCCGAATTTCTGCAAGCCGCAAGTTGGCACAATGTCTCGCCAGAATTTGTGTGTTTCGTGGTGTGGTTGCCGAGGTGTGCCAAATAAAGACAAACACTCCCAACACGGGTATACCCTAGGGTTCAAACCGAATACCATCCATATCCATCCATGTTCAAAGGATACTTTTGCAGCCATATCCAAAGGTTCCCAAAGGGTCCAATCATCCACATAACAACATCCAAACAGGGTTCCTTACATGGCCCCTCTACACGTCACCCCACCCAAAAAAAAACTGCAACATCGCCCAAAACCAAGCAGGGACATATGTGAGTGTGTGTGTGTGTGTGTTAGAATAGGGCACCCCCCTTTTGATTAATTAGATAATTCACTGATTAATTAATATTAATCAATCAATTATATATATATATATATATATCGCTGGGGCAGTTGCCTTTGGTTTCCCCCTTTTTTACCGCCAAAAAGGTTACCCTCAAGAAATCCACGTCCCAGAACCCGACGTTCCTTTCCGCGTCACTGCGTGCCCGCGCCCAGGGCGCGGCCAGGCAAAGGCCCGGCCGCGCGCAGCAGCGAGGCCAGCAGCGTGGGCCCATAGCGCTGGTCGTCGTCCACCTCGCTCCAGCCCCCCGTTTGCAGCTTGGATCGGTTTGGTGGTGAAGGAGGGGCTTCCCATTGACCCCTACAGGAACCCGTGGTTCTTTGGCTGCTTAAAAGAGGAAAAACAAGAACGACCTTCGTCTTTTTAGGGTTTCTGGACTGTCGCAAGAAGTTTCAGAGCCTTTTAGCAAGTACCTCAAATGTTGTTCTTGGACTCTTTCAAATCAGTTTGCCGAAGTGAGACTCAATTGGGACCTCTGCTGGGGCTCGATCTACTTGTTTCCTGTTTGGCGCCATTGGGAAGATTGTCTGCCATGCCAAAGGGGTGCAGGTCCCACGAATTCCTACAAACATCTGCAATCTGCAAGTAGACTATCGGGCTGAGTGGAGCGGGACGTCATTTTCAAGGGAGGTCTGGTATAACCCTAACATGGAAGATACCCCAAGAGCACAAAGGGGTGGAAAGGCAGGGATTCATATCCAACAGAGCCCAGATGCAACGAAAGATCATGTCCTATATATATTCCATGGACGGGACATGGCCGCCTCCCGCCTGCAGGATGTAGGTCTCTGGATCACGCTCCACCTTCAAGACTTCCTCAGGAATACACGCGGTACTTGCTGAATTGCGATGTCAATGTCTGGCATACTTCATGAGTGAACAACATATTTGAAAAATCTGAGTGTGTTCGAACCAGCCGCGGAGATTTGGCTCCGCACCAAGAAGCGTACAAAGGCATAGTAAGTATAGGGATTTGTCCGAGAGGCACAGTTTCACAACGTTTGCATCTTGTTTGGCGTGGTCTGCCAGTTTCCCTCCAGGAACATCAATGACACCTTCTTCAACCTGACAGGACCTGCTCGTCAGCTGCGATTAGCCGAGCCATTCATTCAGAACTGAGTGGCAAACAGGCAACAACGCTCGCCTTCCACCAAGCTTTCAATTGGACCCGCTTGCACCCATGCGAAGCCCGACTCGACGTCTCGAAATGGGACCACAAAAATGCAGGATGAACCTCGAACTGGTCGCTTAAAGGGAAACCGCACATGCTGACTTTGGACCCCGTCGCAGGCGTTGGATCTGAGTTGAGCAAGGCGCGAGCATGTGGGTTGCGGGGCCCCAGTCGCGGCATCTCCGAAGCAGCAAATTCGGGGCGCGCTTCCGCAGCAACCAACCGGGGATCCTTGGCGGCAAGAAGACAGCGGCACTGAGGAAGTTGTGGCTAGCCTCCCGCCTTGCATGCAACCTTTAAGAGGGGAAACATTTCCTCTAGGGGTTGATCCTTGAGACCTCAGCCATTTTCCCAGGGCTTTGCTGGTTTTCTGGAAAGAAGGATCTCTGGAAATAGTCCTCTCTTAGCTTCCATGTTTGTGGCAGGGAGAGTACCTTCCTGGGAAGCGCAAGTGGAACAAACGATTTGCTGTCGGCAATTCTTTGGGGGTGCGGGATGTCCCCCCTACTTCCGTGCGCCCAATGTTGTGTGCTGGGGTTTCCCAAGAATATGACCTCATGGGGCCTTCTCCCGATGTTTGAATCGCGGCAGTGCAGCTTGCAGTCCAAAAGAAGTTGCTGCTCATATTGCACCAAGTAGTCTGGAGTCGCAGGGCGATGAGAATGGAAAGGCGAGAGGCAAACAAACACATCCAAGGATAAAAGTAAGCCTTGTCCAGGGATTGGTTTGTCACTGTCGCAGCGGCTGTTGTCCCAAGTCCGCCAGTCACGCAAACTATGCACTCGTCTGCCCAGGCACCTTGTGCTTGAGATGTCTCATCCAGTTAATTCGGCAATTGCAACATGGTCATGATTCAAGTTGCCGATTGGTCGGAAGCCAAGCCGTGTAAAATCGCTTTTTCTGGGAATTTCTCAAGCATATCTGACAAGCCATCGCCAAAGGCACTGGTAGGTGGTGTTGTCACGCAGAAAGACCTGGCTGGCAAAGCGAGACACGTGTTGTTTGTTCTTGCTAGGTGATCTTGCGGCTTAATCCATCCGCAATTTCAAGTCAACATAATGTTAACATTGGACTACTGAGGCGCGTTTCCGAGATTCAACACTAGCAATTCTAAACTCTGACGCGGGCCTCCGGACACAGCTACAACGTACGCCGTGTTCGGCAGAACCCGCTTCGCACAAAAAACAGATGCTGTCAATTTCATCCCAATAACCACTTCATCTGATTTCCAAATGCGTCCTCATTCCCGCAGGCCACCTGCAACTACAGATCGCCTTCTCCCTGGACCCCGTTTAATCTGAGCTTTGACCTTCTAAGATTATGAGAACAAATACTTGCACGGCAAAAACTAAATGCACAACGAGCTGGATCAAACCCTATAGCAATTTAACTTTCCAAATGTGAATGAGTCTCTGTCATTCGCACACACTCGTGTGCACCAACCCAACCCTGACCAGTGCTTCGCCTCCGGCACAAAGAGGTAGACAGCGTCCAAAGGCCAGGTTTGCTGCAGCAAGCTGTCCTGCAAAACGCCCCAATGCGAAAAATGCTGCCATCACCTACCATGACCTTGCATACGATGTCCTGCTTGGCCGCAAACAGCCGTGTTTTAGGCCAATTACAAATCTCACAGTAGTGTGTAATTCGAACAGTGACAAGTGTCTTCACCAGAAACAGGGCAACGCGAAACAACCTTTGTCCAGGATTATGCACAGGAACCCAACCCCCGCTCCCCCGCAGGTCCAACGCAGGCTCAATGAGGTGGATGCGCCTTGCAGGTTGACACAGGGTGAAAAATTGGGGCAGCCCAGACCCGACTTGTGCTTCACCAAGGGGCCAAAGGAAAACGCACTGCCCTGGCCCTGACGCAACTAGCTGCATGCATTCGTGACAGTGTGACAGGTGCCTGCAACACGTTGCCCAATTTCGCACCAAGCTGACAGGCTGTCACTGTCACATTCCATGCAAACATCTGCTGCAAGAGTGGCAGCTCTCCACTTTGTGTTCTTCTACCCGAAGCGTTGTCGCTGGGGCACTAATATAACGCAAAACGCACACCTCAAAGAAAACAGCTCCAGCAGTCCAGCCCAAGCCTTATGGCTCCTCCGACTCGAACCTCGCGCGCGCGATCGGC